AAATGCCACCTCAGGCTCAGCATCTCCCAACCTCAGTGTACAGACAGTGCTGAGAGCACAGTGATGCCTGTGCAGGAGTTCAGAGCTCCATCTCTCCCTCCTCCTGAGGGACAGGAGATGCTCTGCCAGCTCAGCTCCTGCCTGGGACAGCAGTGGCTGCAGGGCTTACCGGTGCTGGGGGTCTGAAATGGCTTGGCATCTTCCTGTAGGACATTTTCTCTGGCTGCACTTGCACAAAGGCTCTGTTGAGCAAACCACTGTCATTCTTTCTGCTCGAGGAGGAGATGTTCAGGGACCTTGACAGGAAATTCACAGGCTGCAACAGGAGAAGAGTGTAAAGAAAGAAGAAATCCAGCCCTTTGTCCACATTCACATGGACTGCTCAAAGGCAGGTCCAGGCTACTGCTGCTGCAGCTTTGCAGAGTTTTTTCAGAGCAGAGCSAGCTCTGCCCCTGCTCTGAGCACARAACCCCTCACCTGGGCTCTTTTGAAGCACACAGTCTTGGGGAGGGCAGGCAGGTTCTGTGTCATGTCTTCATCCACAATATCCAGGGCCAGGGACTTCCGCACCTTCTTGATGGGGCTCCTGCGCAGCTGGAGGACACAGGAAAGGCAGTGTCAGCATGAATCCACCCAGGAAAGCCAGTGTCAGCATGAATCCACCCAGGAAAGTGCCCTCCTGAGGGCCCAGGGGGCACAGCGAGCCCACAGCACCCCAATTCTGCATGGCACCAGCACTCAGGAAGGTTTGTGTAGCCTTCCCCACCCCAGGGCAGCTCCCAGCACACCGCACCTGGCACCCAGAGCCACCAGTTCAGAAAAGAAAAAGCTTTTAGTGGGTAGGGAAGGCCACCAGGAAACTGAGACTTCTCCTACAAGCCCACACCCTTCTGAGAACCCAACTTGCCCCAGGTGCTCCAAGTGTGCCAGCAAGCCCCAGGCTCAGCACAAACCAGGGCACTCCTGGCAGTATTTTAATCAGGCTTTAACCTCAGGCATCTCTTGCTGATTAAAAGAGAGCAGCCACAGGGCTACAAACATTTTGGCACCAATAGCAAGATGAACAAAACCAGGCAGAACACTCCTTAAGAGCACAGGGCAGCTCAGCAGCTGGTGCTGGGTGCAAAGGCAGCTCACCCCTTGTTTTCTCTTCTGCTTCTCAGGCTTCACATCATCCTCTATGATGAGTTCAATGCCAGCTTCACTCCGCAGCACCTCCTTCAAGTCTTCTTCCAGGTGAGGAGTCTGGGGCTGGTGTGGGAAGGCAGAGAGAGCACAAGAAAGTCAAATCTGTATGCTGGGCAGGCTCACAAGTGTTTCCCTGAGGGGACAATGGGGTCAGGAGAGCCCATAGTTGGAGGACAAACACAAAAACCTATTTGCTTCCCAGCTGGAAAAGATAAGACAAGTCCTCTGCTAGATTGACAAATTTATGGGATCTCCAGGTAGAGAGACTCTCATCAGCTGCACCCCACGTGTGCCATCAGGGGACAGTGTGCACACAAAGCTTGGGAGACCNAAATGCCACCTCAGGCTCAGCATCTCCCAACCTCAGTGTACAGACAGTGCTGAGAGCACAGTGATGCCTGTGCAGGAGTTCAGAGCTCCATCTCTCCCTCCTCCTGAGGGACAGGAGATGCTCTGCCAGCTCAGCTCCTGCCTGGGACAGCAGTGGCTGCAGGGCTTACCGGTGCTGGGGGTCTGAAATGGCTTGGCATCTTCCTGTAGGACATTTTCTCTGGCTGCACTTGCACAAAGGCTCTGTTGAGCAAACCACTGTCATTCTTTCTGCTCGAGGAGGAGATGTTCAGGGACCTTGACAGGAAATTCACAGGCTGCAACAGGAGAAGAGTGTAAAGAAAGAAGAAATCCAGCCCTTTGTCCACATTCACATGGACTGCTCAAAGGCAGTTCCAGGCTGCTGCTGCTGTGGCTTTGCAGAGTTTTTTCAGAGCAGAGCSAGCTCTGCCCCTGCTCTGAGCACARAACCCCTCACCTGGGCTCTTTTGAAGCACACAGTCTTGGGGAGGGCAGGCAGGTTCTGTGTCATGTCTTCATCCACAATATCCAGGGCCAGGGACTTCCGCACCTTCTTGATGGGGCTCCTGCGCAGCTGGAGGATGCAGGAAAGCCATGTCAGCATGAATCCACCCAGGAAAGCCAAGGTCAGCATGAATCCACCCAGGAAAGCCAAGGTCAGCATGAATCCACCCAGGAAAATGCCCTCCTGAGGGCCCAGGGGGCACAGCGAGCCCACAGCACCCCAATTCTGCATGGCACCAGCACTCAGGAAGGTTTGTGTAGCCTTCCCCACCCCAGGGCAGCTCCCAGCACACCGCACCTGGCACCCAGAGCCACCAGTTCAGAAAAGAAAAAGCTTTTAGTGGGTAGGGAAGGCCACCAGGAAACTGAGACTTCTCCTACAAGCCCACACCCTTCTGAGAACCCAACTTGCCCCAGGTGCTCCAAGTGTGCCAGCAAGCCCCAGGCTCAGCACAAACCAGGGCACTCCTGGCAGTATTTTAATCAGGCTTTAACCTCAGGCATCTCTTGCTGATTAAAAGAGAGCAGCCACAGGGCTACAAACATTTTGGCACCAATAGCAAGATGAACAAAACCAGGCAGAACACTCCTTAAGAGCACAGGGCAGCTCAGCAGCTGGTGCTGGGTGCAAAGGCAGCTCACCCCTTGTTTTCTCTTCTGCTTCTCAGGCTTCACATCATCCTCTATGATGAGTTCAATGCCAGCTTCACTCCGCAGCACCTCCTTCAAGTCTTCTTCCAGGTGAGGAGTCTGGGGCTGGTGTGGGAAGGCAGAGAGASCACAAGAAAGTCAAATCTGTATGCTGGGCAGGCTCACAAGTGTTTCCCTGARGGGACAATGGGGTCAGGAGAGCCCATAGTTGGAGGACAAACACAAAAACCTATTTGCTTCCCAGCTGGAAAAGATAAGACAAGTCCTCTGCTAGATTGACAAATTTATGGGATCTCCAGGTAGAGAGACTCTTATCAGCTGCACCCCACCTGTGCCATCAGGGGACAGTGTGCACACAAAGCTTGGGAGACCCAGCTCCTCAGGGAGGCCTGGGCAGATCATTTCCATGCTTTTCCTCAAGGTCACCAGTAGCCAAGCCCTGCAGCCCGATTCAMGGGCAGGTTTTGGCATTTTTAGCTACTTTACAGAAGAGCTAAAAGTCCTGTAGCTACTTACAATGAAATGATCACTCTGACAATGTCCCCTTCACCCTCCCATCTCAGCCTGGCACCACCCTTTGTTCTGGCACAGAGAAGGGTTTGCTCACAGCCCTGCCCCAATCTCCCATTTGCACTCATCAGCCCCTCCAGCCACAGCCCTTGTTCATAATTACCAGAGGCCTAATTGGTCCGTATTTCTCCAGGGCGTTTTTGAAAGGCGTGGGGGTGTGAGGGGTGTTGTCCACCACATAGGTCTGGTCTGGTGTGACAAACCTGGAAGCAGAGTGGGAAAGGCAGGGGGTCAGACAGGCTGTGACCCACAGAAGGACACAGCCCACCCAGCAGCTGGGCACAACAGAGGTCAGCTGGCTGTGCCTCCAGCCAGACTGGACATTTGCTCCCTGCTGCTCAAGGAGGAGCWGGTTTTGGGGGGAAAACAGAGATTTAAGGAAATCTCCTCTCTCAGTAATGCCATGACAAGTATTGGCAGATATGTCTGAACAGGACCAGGCTCCTGGGTGGAAAAGGAGGAGGAGGAGAAAGGACTTACGCTAAGTTCTTCTGGAGCAGAGGGGTCTTGTCCCTGTGCAGTGGGGTGGTGACAATCACCTTCTGGCTGCACACGGGCGTGGAGGTCAGGGAAGGGTTCTCCAGTTCCAGTGTATCCTGTTTGGTCCAAAAGTTCAAGAACTGCATGGCACAGGGAAGAGAAATTGAACACAATTTTTCAAGTAGCCTGGCATTGCATCACAAGCCATTAATTCTTCCTAAATATGGGGGGGAAACTGAAGTAGGAACAATCCTCCCAAAGCAGGATGACTGCAGACTCCCAGTTCTGTACACAGACACTCACAAGTTGTGTGAAAAGTTGTCAGGAGGCGCCTCACGCCTCTAAAGATTATTCACCTCCCACAAGGGATGAGCTGATTCAAGCACAGGATAGGAGAGGAGTCTCTCCCTGCACTGGTAATCCCAGCTCACCCAGTCTATCCCAGCCTCAGGATGACAAACACGAGGGAAGTTCATTTAACACAAAGTGTGCGAGTGAACAGGACTTGCACTGAGATGTTTTCAGTCTAAACCGTGAGACAAACTGTCTCATCTCTGCTAGGATTTTATTTCCTAACAGCTTTACCCCCTTAAGGAACAGTTTGTACTCAAAGACTTCTTGGAAGAAAACTCTGGTGATATTCACTGATGGCTAAAGTTTAGTTCAAGGCAAGACAGGCACATTGCCTTCTGAGACTCACCCCAGACCTCCCTGCCTTTACTCCTGCAGAGCTGCACATTTTAATTCCAACTTCCCAGTTCTTGCTGGTCTTGCATTCAAGGTCCACCTGAACCTGCAATGTTGGGCTGCYCTGTGGTGTCCTCCCATGCTTTCTGCTGCAGAAACAGCAGAAATGAAGGTCTGGAAGGCACAGTTGGGGAGGGTCTGGASAGCAGAGCTGCAGTGGGAACTGTGCAGGAGAATGCAGCAGTCTTTGTTCTGATTTATAGACAGAACTCCACCGTTCCCAGATGAGACACTCATGGGTCTGAGCACCCCTGTGCTCCAAGGTGATGCGTGTTGGAGACCACATGTGTGGGCATTGTGGGAATMATGGCAAAAACTGAAAAACTGAATCCCTTTTGAAACACAGACAAGCCCAGCAGCATTTTCATAAGCAGAGCAGCACAGAGCTCTGCATGAGGTGTTTGCTGCCCAGCCTGTCTGCGTGACTGAACTGCAAAAACAACCAGGGGAAGCAAATTTTCACTGCTGCTACTCTGCTGCCACAGCTGGGGCAGCAATGCCCTGGGGACAGCAGCAATGTGCTCTCCAACACACCCTGGCACGCAGTGGGGCTCCTTTCCCATGCTGGGCATCTGCCCTGCCCCTTACACAGGATTCCTGAGCCTCCTTAAACCTGCAAGCACTSCCAGATGGAGACAGGCTGCTGCTCCCACAGGAAGTGCAGTCGTGCCACAAACCAGCTCTGAGCCTCATTTCAGCAAGGGAACAAGCTCTGCACACCAGCACTGCCTCAGTCTAGGCAGAGGAGCACAGAGCTGCCAGAGCTGATGGSAATGTGTGACATCAGGGCAAGGAGATACCTGAGATGGAGAGAAGGGCAGTGTCTTTACAGGGGTGCCCTTGGGTGTCATGCTGTTGCACGAGTCCAGGAAGGACATGCTGGTGCTGGTGACATTCTCCGTGACGGGCGAGAGGGAGATCTTCCTCTTCTTCTGCCTCTTGAGCACCGAGGGCGGGGTGCCAAAGCTGCCCTCKGCGTGGGGGGAGATGGGGATGAGCTCCCCCTTGCTGCTCCTGCTCAGGTCCGAGATGGTGTGGCCGTCCAGGCGGTACTCGGTGACGTTGGGCAGGGCTGGAGCCGCCTCGCCGGGCGCTGGCTGGGCYGGGCTGGTGCTGCCGCTGCTGCTGCCGGCCGAGGGCTCCTCGGGCAGGTCAAACTGGGTCAGGTCACACCACCCATCGGGGTCCTGCACACAGGGAAAGGGTCAGCAGCAGCCCAGGGGGCCAGCTGAGCAGCCAGGCTGGTGAATTGGGAGGAGAAACGGGGGAGGGTGTGAAATGGCACCAAAGCTTTGGAATGAGCCTGGCCAGGACAGCTCAAACCTTTCTCTTCTCTGCCACGGGCACAACCAGAGCCAGAGCAGGGCTCTGACCCAGCTCAAAGCTGCTGCCTAGGCACAGGGCAGGTTTTGCTGTTCATGCAAGGTTGGTTTCCTGGTTCGGTTCACAGCACAGMTGCACAAACAGCTGCGCCCCCTCAGAGAGGGGACAAAAGGAGCAGCTAGGCAGAGAGCTGAGGACAGGGACTGAACCAAGGTACTGTCACCCAAAAACAACCCACAGCTGGGTACGGCTGGGCTCTGGCTTTGGTGAAACTGCACTGCAGAAAGCAGATTAAAATCAACCAGAGCAGCTCAGAAATGAGCTGCTGCTTCACAGCTCCACCCCACCAACAGCCAGCACCCTACAAGCAGCCCCAGAGGGCTCACAGATGTGCTGCAGAGCCTCAGGCACAGACACTCTTCCTATACACGGGCAAAGCAGCTCCTTCACGGATCATAAGCTCCTCAGGGAGGCTGGGGGCTGCACAGGCCACTTCCCTCTGATGGCAGCAAAGTGCACTGTTGATTTYATCCAGCCTCCCACCCTGGCGTGCCTCTGTCACCCAGGGGACCTCAGCACCACCTGACTGGCTGAAAATAACTAACTTCAGTGCAGCTACCTCCACTGAAAGCAAATGGTGGCATTATGCCCGTGTGAAGGGGCTGTCCTGCACAGTAAAATRGGCTTGGCTTATTTCCAGTCTGTCCTGGAAGAGAAACTGGGGGAAGCTGCAAGGCATGACAGCCCCAGCTCTCCTCAGGGTGATGAGAAAGGGGATCCAGCAAGTTCACTAAAGGGAAAAGGGTGAGGATCAGTCTCCCTGCAATAACTGGAGGAACAAGGGTCTGTTACTCACTGATTCAATCATGTCCAGAGCTTCACTGAAGGCCGGGGCACAGCTTGGGTAAAGATAGTTGGTAGCTTCCACAACCCATTTGTATGGTGACTCGATAAATGAACCGGCATCCTCGGGCACTGCGTCATCTGGGGTCCCCTCCATGTTCTGCTCTGCCACCCCTGAAGCTGGCAGCTCCGAGRGCAGCTCCTGCACACCTGTCACCTCCTCATCACTGACGTCTTCTTCCTTAATCTCAGAGATGTCCACCGGCCAGTTGGGCAGGACGTTCTTGGCACATGCAACAAAGAAAGTCCAGATGTCAGCAGAAAGCAAGGGAACAGAGGGGATGGTGTCAGGCCCTGGGGACGGAGAGAACCTGGACACATTTAACTCTCTCCCCTCTCCTACCTGCCACTGGGCTTCTTTCACATCCCCATCCTCCCCTCTCTGCTCTGTCCCATGCATTGAGCAGGAACCCATCCAACATAACAAGCACAGGACTGTTTAATTGAAGATTTCATTTAACAATGTCCCAGGAGAAAGTTGAACAYGGGCTGAGCACGTAGCACTAGTTCYACATTTCGTATGTTCCAAGAGCCTGCCTTCAGAAACTACACACTTTCTTCAAGAAAACAATCTCTGGGTGTAACTCCCTGCTTCCTTATTTAGAGAAAAGGAACACACTATCTCTTCACCCTGCTCCCACACACACACTGCCTGGAGCAGCCTCCTTCTCCCACCAGCAGCAGCACAACGAAGCTGAAAGAATCTTCGGCATCCAAAACAGACCTGATGGTGGGATTGGCAAGGTARCAGCTCTAGCAGACTGCAGTCCTCTGCCTGGATAACACACTCAGGCTCCCATCACACCTCTGCCTCCTGGAGGGAGAGAGCTGGGAGCCTGGGGAAGGCACAGACTGTCTATGTAGACACAGGCTGTGGCAAAGGCAGTGTGAGGCAGCAGAAGGGTGGATGAAGAGCTCCAAAATGCATTGGCAGGGCAGGGACTGAGCCAGCTGCCTGCTGTGAGTGTGCTGGTGCAGTACCTGGCTCTCAGCTGTCGTCTGACTCTGCCTCTCCTTGTTATCCACCTCCACGAGCACGTAGAGCGCCTTGGACTCCTTGTTTTCACTGAGGAAACCCCCCGTGTCCACYTTCCGTTTGATGGTGGAGTTCCAGTGGTTCTTCACAGCATTGTCAGTCCTGCAGAGAGCAGAGGGAAACAAATCATGCCTCAGAGCAGCTTTAAAGCACAGCTAAAACACCCTCCTGAGCCCCATCATGAGAGCCTAACACACAGATCCGCACGGCCTGCCCAGCAGAGAAGGCAGCAGAGAGCAAATCCTACCTGCCAGGCAGYAGCTTGGCAATCTCTGCCCAACGATTCCCCAGGACCTTGTGGGCCTCGAAAATGATGCGATCCTCCTCCTCYGTCCACGAGGACTTCTTCACCTCGGGGTTCAGGTGGTTGTGCCAGCGCTCCCGGCACTGCTTCCCCAAGCGCCCTTTCAGGTGCTTGGCTATCAGGGTCCACTGCTTGGTGCCGTATTTTTTAACCAGCTCAATTACCTTTGGAGAGAGGGGGAGGCAAATGAGGAAGTGGAACAAAGGAGGGGAAGGTCAGTACAGTATTCTTCAGGCTTTGCTCTTCACCTCTCCAGGGACCAGGGAAGGGCAAAGAAAGAAAGGCTCCTTTGGAGGAAAAGCTGGAGGGATGCAGCAGGGCAACCAGGTGCTCCAAACCTCATGAGAGCAATGATTCAGCCARATTTCTCTAAGAGGCTATTTCCATGCAGACATTTTGCCACAGGGCACCTGTGAACGCAGATGAGCCCTCACAGAAGATGGGGTGGAGACTGGCAGGTGCCCAGATATACAAACACATTCCCACTTCTGAGCAAGGGCCAAGTCCCACCTGCTCCAAGGCTCCTGTGCCCTCTCAGCTTCTGAGGGCCTGGCTGTGTGACAGCAGCCCCCATCAGCTYTGCACTGCTCCCTTGAACAGTGTGGCACACGCAGGGCAGGAGGGCTGCAGCTCCACACCCTGAGAGCATCAGGACACACAGGGAGAGCTCCAAATCCACTTAAAACCCCTTCACTTTGCCTCTTCCCCTTCACCCASGCCCTTCTGCCTGAGCCTCAGCACAAATGCTTCTGGGCRCCTACAATGCCCAGGGCACAGTCARGATGAAACAATCTACATCCTGCCATGTTCAGCCCRCCAAAATCCTGGCTAAGGAGTTCTCGAAGAGCATTTCTACCCTGRCCAGCTGTGCTGAGCTGAAAGGGGCAGGTAGAAAGGTGATGCTCACACAATAAATGTCCCTGCTGCAGATTCTTGCCTTCCAAGCACAGGCAAATGGACCAAAGATGCCAAACAGAGGCCAAGGAGCTGGGCCAAAGCAATGGGGAGGGAGTTGGAGCCCAGCATGGCCAGGATGGGCAGGCTGGCAGAGACAGGACAATGAAAAGGGAAGGGGAATTGCTTCCCTTCAACAACTGCTCTGCTGTAAAAATGGGGAACGACATCAGGAGAAGCTTCCTTAGGCTTGACATAAGGTAATGGGGCCAAAAGAAAGAGAACTAGGGGAGSAGGAGTGTTACAGAGAATCTGCCAAACTAGGGTGTTCTGTACCAGAAAAACCTTGGTAAAAGTTGGATTTCTCTCCAACTTCGCTAGAGTACATCAAGATGATGAGTCTGYRTGAGCTGGCCCCTCTCAGCTCCCTCTGGAATCAGCAGAGAAACAGGCTCACAGAAGTCATGATTCACCCAGCCAACCTCAGACATCCACTCCAGCCTGCCTACTGTGGCACAGGAAATGCCAGTTTTATTTTCCCTTCGATCCAGCCTGGCCAGGCCAGGTGGAGACCTGCCAGGAGGCAGATGAATTCATTCCCTTTTCAGCTCTCTCCCTCGGCAGCCTGCTGCTGCAGCACTGTGTGAAAGGGAGAAGGTGTTTACCTGGAGGGGCCTAGATCACATCAAATCACAGCCCTGGCTGCTTGGGCTGGTCTTACGGGTAWCCACCGTGGAGAAAAATTACACACAGTTTACAACCCCGAGGATGGGTCTGACGTCCCATCCTCTCTGCAGACAGACAGCCTAACATTGACCCGCTCAGGCCTGACTCACCTTCTGGTCCTCCTCTTTGGTCCAAGGTCCCTTCACCAGGTCAGGGTTCAGCACTCTCAGCCACCGGTACTGGCACTGCTGGTCACTGCGRTTCTGGGAAAAGGAGTGGGGACAGCCTGGTGTTACACTGGAGGCTCCAAAGGCACAAAAAGCTCCAAAAGTCACAGCAGTCCCCATACACACAGACTGTCCCACAGAAAACCCGCAGAAGCACGTGGACAATACATATGGAGGCCCAGGGCACTGGACACAGGGACAGGAACCTCAATTTCTCACCCCAGSTCCAACAGACTGGCCCTGGAAAGCCCTCTGTACAAAAGAGAGTCTCCCTGCTCTGAAGCAGCCCCGTTTCACAGCCTGGAGCTGTGAAGTCAGAACGAAATCAGAACAGAATCCCACTGCAGGGACACAAGGCACCAGCACAAGGAGAAGCAGCAACATGCAAACAGCAGGATGTCCAGCTTGGCACGGGGTCACTTACAGGGAAGTGGCTGGCCAGGAACTTCCAGTCATTCTGCCCATAATGGCTCACTAACATCTTCAGCTGCTCATCCTGCAAAAGACAGAGACATGCACTTTGACATACACAGGGGCAACACACACCGCAGGGCTGATGGCATCACAGGTATTTTGGACTGCCAAKAAGGTTTTGTTGGCATTCTGTGTTCGGGGGAGGAAGGTGCTCACACCAGCCTTTAGCAGTGCTCCAGCATGTGGAGCCCAGCTGGAACTGTTTGGTTCTGAGCTCTGTGCTGGGACGAGCTCACACAGAGAACACAGAACAAGAGCTCAGCTCTGTTCCAGCACAGTCTGAGTCAAACCCTGTGGCCAAGGGCCTGCCTCTCCTGCCTCAGTACAACCTGATTGGACAGTCCATCTCCCAGCTCAGCCACTGGTTTTGTCTGGTCAGGAAAGCTGGATCTCCGCTGCCTGGTGCTCTTCTGCCTTTCAGTGTTACAGGGCTCTACAGCATCTCTTTTGTGATCCCTGCTGTGGCCCATGTGTGTGAACTCCTACAGTTCACAGAAAGTTGTCAGAAGGGTCTGTGAGCTCTGGCTGGCTCAATAATTAAATTATTCCCTGCCCAAGGCTTTGATCTCTCCACAAAGCCCACCTTACTTGGTGTTCTGACCCCAGCTTGGGGCTTTCACACGGCACAAAACCAATAGTGAAACTGGGAGGAAGGAAGAGAATATCCCAGCTCATTTCAGGCTCCTAGCCAGGATGACTAAGCCATGATCCCAAGCGTCAATACTCCCTGCTTTTGCTCCAGAAAAAGGAGATTTCCACTGCACATTTCAGCTTGTTGGAGGCCTCAGCCATCCTGTGGGACCCCTCTGCACTCACAGGAGTGCTGCAGGCAGTGGTGTTTTGCTCAGGACTCATTAAGCTAAAAAGGCTGGAGCTCTTGCTCTTGAGGCTGCACCTCAAACTGCCCTGAACCTCTGAGCCTCACTCAGCACAGGAGGCACAGGGTCCTCTCCAGCAGCAAGGCTGCAGCAGGTGAGCACTGGGGTGGAGTCACCCAAGCTCAGGGTGCCATGTCAGAGGCAGCACCCCAAAGCACCTCTGTCAGCACATTTCAGGCTCTCACTCACCTCTTCTTGTGTCCACTTGACTTTGCACCTGCCATCCCGYTGCTCCGGCACGTCCAAGTCTGTATCCTGGTAATGCAGCTCATCCTGGTCCTCACTAGAGAGGGATAAAGGAAGATTATAATTTCCGCASGATAAAAACACAGGAGAGGGAGCAACCTCCACCACAGAGAGCAGAACTCAAGGGCAACCTCCATCGTAGGGAGCAGAGCTCCAGATCTCTCTTCCAGCGCCGAGCCCAAACCTCACCGGCACCCACCCACCCCACATTTAAAGGAGACCCTCAGCTTTGGGCTCCCGCACCTGCTGGCCGGTTTAATGCTGCCCAGAACAGGAGAAGAGCATTTCTTTCCACTTCTACCCCTTCTGTCCCCCGGGATGGACTTTGCATCTGGGCACCGGCCCCATTTCCCCGGTCCAGCTCCGGCAGAGGGGCGCGGGGAGCGGTGCGGGGCAGCAGCCKCAGGGCTCCCCCTCACCCCGCGCTGCGAGCGGGCAGAGCGGGGCGGGCGGAGCCGGGGATCCCGCAGCGCGGGTACCGCCGCCCCGCATCCCGCAGCCCGCCGGCCGGGAGGAGCAGGCC